GAACATTTCTATCAATTTGCATGGTCTTACTATTTTGCCAGAATTGTGTTTGTTTATTAGCTGATACACTTTTGTTAAAATATTTAGGATTATTTGAATAATTGTTAGTATTAGCATTTTGTGGTTTATTCATAGCATAGTTAGCCTGGTCATTACACTGTGAGACATTTGTATTGGGATCTGGTTTACGGTTATAATTATTATTGTATTTAAAGTTTTTGTTATTTTTGAAAGCAAAGTTTTGTTTAATTTTACTGTTTTCATTAGAACTTTCAATTTGTTTTGAAATGTGCTTATTTCTATCTGGACACTTCCAGATTTTATGGTCAAGTGACCCACATGCAAAACATTTATAGACTGGACCTTGATTGTCAGTACCTTGATTATTTATGTTTGGGTTATAAAAATTGCTGTTATATTGATTTGCATGTGACTGTGGTTTATTAGTAGCTTCTTGATTTTGTGTTGTTTGTGGTGTCTGTTTGACATAATTATTATTGTGTTTAAAATTAGACTGATTATAATTTTTGTTTTTAAATTTAAAACCTTGTTTAGACTGAAATTTACCGTAAGGTCTGTCAATCAAATAATTCATCTCGTTGAGATTCTCAGAATTAATAGCAAGTTGTTTAAATTCTTGTAGGCCTCCAGACAAAGGCCAGATACCAAGGTTTAGTATCTTGTTACGAATTTGGTATTTTAAACCAAAAGTTAAAATCTCAATCTTTTCACTCATAGGCATCCGTTCGGACACACTTTCTATCAAATCCATACCCCTGTTAATATATGCTCGAACATTCTCATCCTTAAATTGTTTCAAGGTGTTTAACCTATATCTATTAGTAATACTTTTACTTTTAGCTTGGAACTCATTTAAAAAGTCAGTACGCAAAATTAGCCAGGTAATAGATTCAAGGGACGGATATTTATCAGCTAGCCAATTAATCACGTCTTCAGACACATATCGCGCAAAGTTTTTAATTTTATGAGCGTCAGACCACTGATTTAATATAGATGACTTTTCGTACTTTCTGAGCCAAATTTTTGGGTCCATGTCATATGTAAAATTTGGCGGCTTATGTATAGTTTGTGTTGTCATGGTTAAATTCTCAAGTGCATGGATTAGTTGGTCACCACTAGAGCTACTAGCATTAGTATTTGTATGTGGCAATGATCTCATGTGAGCTAGGTTATTTGATAGTGGTATTTGATTACCACGGTTAGGTACACTATATTGTGTGGCATTATTGCTAACATTTGGCAAATAATTTGATACACACGGATTGTTTAATGTGCTGTATACAGTATTAGTATTTTGTGACCGGATATTGGGTAGACTAAATGTCGTTGTACGATCACGATTAGTGTTTGTGAATATTGGTCGTATTGTATTACTATAAGTCACGCTCGTTGGCAAAGTATTAATTTGAGAATCGACACTAGTTATATAATTTGAGCCTGAAATGATATCTCTATTATTGCGAATAATTTGATTTAATTGTGAAACAGTAGGTGCTCGCATATTTATAGCTTGTTCAGAATTTAACAAATTATTAGTGTCATGTTGGTTTTGAGAAACTGGTATATTTGAGTAATTTGAATGACTGCCATATAATGCAACTATGCGATTCAACTCATCGCTAGAGCACCTCTCATATAACTCAAACATTACTATGTCTGGACTAAAAATGCCAAGCTCATATTTCTCAATCAAATCCGATTTTACATAGTTAGGAACAGATTGCATAATATTAATAAATTGTATCATGCTTGGTTTGTTAAAAGTCTCATTAATAATTGTATTCTCTGTATCATTATGATTAATAATAGTATCCTCACTTACATGTCCGTATCCATTTTCATTTGATTCTGGTAGAAAATCATAACCTCCCGGCCCCCATATAACCGGTAGGTCGTTGGAAAATGACGCCATTATGGTTGAATGTAGGGTGTACTTGCTTGAAACGACAGGCAAGGAATCGTTGAACCTCCACCAATTATGTTACGCAGGTCACATAAGAGCCAGAATATTCTACAAAATAACCTGGAACATAATCTTAACCTCAAATAAGGTTAAGTTAATAATAAAAATAAATTTAATTTTCACTAACAAACCGGATCGCTATTTAAATTCAATATATAAATAAAACTGTTTTTTATACAAAGAACTTGTTTATTTAATTCAATGATTAAAGTAATTATAATTAAAATATCGCACACATTTAATTCCATCACATATTTTAAACACATTCATGGGCGCACTCCATGAGTGCCACAATCCAACTCTCCCTGTCATAAAACTACATGTAGTATATATAATAATTTATCAGGGTAATATGAGCTGTATATAATATAAAATTACATATAAATGCAAAGTTATAAAATGTTATATAATAATAAGTAAACTGTTATAATATAAAACTAAATAAAATATAATTTACCCGAATATTCTTAATTATAACTAATTAAAGGTTAGGTTTCCTAACATATGTGTGAATTGCATAAAAAGTAGAAAAATTTTTGCATGTTTAAAATTATATTCCTTGTATAAAATTTTGGTTAATACGGACCTGGACAAATCATATACCAAACAAAACCCTAACTATCCAGCTACAATTTAGTAAATAAATGGATAAAATAAACAAAACGGTATTTAAATAAATTAAAATCAAAGTAGGGTTGCCATATTCTGGCCGCCCTGTATAATGATAATGATTATTTCATGAATTTCATTTAAAATAAATAAATGACTTTTAAAGTTTAAATTAATGTAAATAAATGAATTTATGAAATCATTTACTATCACTAATAATATTATTTCACCATATTACAATTTATTTATTATTTTAATATTTGATGTAAAAGTTATATTAAATTAGGTTTTATTTTAAATGTAAATAGGTATTTTTATGTTTTATAAATTAAAATGATTAACTACTCAAAGTATTTGTATTTAAATAATTTGTAAATGATAAGTAGTGAATTAAATTATATAAATAAGAAAATAAAATTTAAATTAAATAATTTTAGTGCATTTTATTAAACATATAATAGATTTTTAAAATAAAGCGTATCTTATTATTAATAAAATGTACTGGTATTTGTAAATTTTAAATATCCTGTTATATTACAATTTAATATATAAAGCAAAGTAATATAATAAAATACAAACAATAAAAATTGTACTGTATTAAATATAAATTTTTATTGTATAATCATACATACAACATAAAAGTAAATATGCTACCTCATAATTATTTTTCAAAATGTTCATGATATAAATTCATTTTATTGTTAAATGATAAATATAATATAAATTGTAGCTGTATTGTGATTTATAATTTAATTAGCAATCAAACAAAGGATTTAAAATATATTTTAAAATTTTATCAACTAAATTAAAATTAAACATGAATAAATTGTATTTTGTGGTTTTATATTTTGTGATCGTTATCATTTGTTTAAGCCAGATTATATTAGCATGCAGAAACCGATTTGAATGCCCTCGTAATACTACATGTGATGGTGGAGTTTGTGTAGCACCTGGACTTGGTGGAGTTGGTGGTGGATCTAAATGATTAATATTACTATTACCAAGAAATCAATGTAATTTTGAATAAATATATTATAAATTAAAATACAATCAAGTTGTTGAATTTATTTATTAAATTTTATTTCCAAATACCTATTACGACATAAATATATTCTCAATTTTAAAATTAATTTCAACAAAATTTATCGTTAAATAATATTGTCTAACTTAAACAGCTTCAGTACAAAGTATAAAGTTTATATATACTAAAGTAGCTATAATATATAGTTTTAAAATTTTTATATATATATAATATATTTTATCTATGAGTAAAATATAGACTATAACTATAAACACTTTTTAGACATTTCTAGAATCTATAATATTCATGTAAAAAGTATTTGAGAGGTGTACTGATAGTGTATGGGTTTATAGTGGTGATGCTAATCTCTGATAAGTTATCAGTATATCATAGATTAATTTACTCGACTGAACTGAACCCAAGTCTGAACTAAAAACAGTGTATTTGTTGCATTTTTGTCACTCAATCCTGTCCCTATATATAACTACAGTATATATAAAGCAAATGCAAATAAAACACATTTAATAAGTAATAAAATGAATACTCACCAATAGTTAAATAAATTGAAAATTGTATTCAAATTTTTCATTAACTAAAATGAACCGAGTTACTTTGACAATTGTATGCTGTGTGGTCATATTAGGACTCTCAATTGGCCCTGTTGCTTTGGAGCCATGTTATTGGACAGGGTGCGTTTAGTTCAACCATGCCACGTGTCCACCGGATCACCGTTTAGTTAGCAAGGAAAAATGCCATGATGAATGGTGGCAAATGTTTTTAAATTTTCAACGTAAATACTGTTGCAAAAAATGTTAGTAGCTAAGATTTAATTACGAAAAAGATACTTGTTAATTTTATTCAACCAAATGTATTATATTTTTTAAAAATATATGTTTTATAGCGATATTTTTATCCAGAAATGTTTCGTGTTGTGTGGTTCAGTAAATGGTTTGAAACATTAAAATTACCAATGTCACACAATTATGAACAGTATGGCATAATATTTATTTGTCTCAATTATTTAATATATTGATTATTTTATTTATTTTATAGTACTGGGCCGATTAGTTGTATTAAGCAATGTGTAGACTTATTTGAAAAATTTGTTTTAGAAAATATGAGAATGATAAATTGTATAATTAATATAAGATGACTTTTACAAATGCAAGCTCATTTTTAGTAAACCTAATATAAAAATTTTTACCATAGTTATTCTAAACAAGCTCCAATCAACATATTTTTGATAAAAATTTCTATTTATTCATCGATTAAATATAAATGTTTTAAAATTAATTTTATAATAATTTGATTAACTTTATTTTGAAAAATTAAGTTGAAATTAAATTTTATGTTTTTAAAGGTTGAAAAATTTAATAAAACTATTTATTAAACTATCTATAATAGAATTTATAATCGATATTTATCTAAAATAACATAATTGCGTTTATTTTACTTCAAAAATTAATATAAAAATTTTAATTATAATGAGAATAAAACATATAACACAAATGATTAAGTGCAACAAGGTCTCTCGCAAATTGTTCCATAAAGCCAATGACAAGGTATGTCAGCCCATTTTAAACTAGCCGGTTCACTGGGTGCATGAACAGTTATACAAACCTCGACATCTTCACTGTTCTTATTGCCATTTGGTTCATCATTTCCTGTGTCCCAATTGGTGTACGTCATCTGATCGCCATTAGACCAAATAAAACTGTCCGGGCTATCCGCTTTTAGCACCCTGGTAGCATCTAGCCAAAATAAGGCATCGAACTTTTGATCCTTAAACCACTGGGCTATAAAATTTTGCTTGGCTGCACTTTTAATTGAAATGATCTTGGCGTTATATTTCTGGGCGCATGTTTTCAGTGCAGTTGTATAATTGCTTTTCGTATATGTCTTGTTGTAAATTAGTAGGCATTCATTGTCCACACCTTTAGTCCAACCGGTAGGACAGTCTACGTAATAATAATAATAATGAGTAGTACATTAAAAATACGAATTATTTATAATATATAAATTCAATATGATAATAAAAATATTTGAAAAGAATATTAAAATCTTGATATCTATAACTCTAGTCGCAATATTTTGAAAAATCTTACAAATCATTATGATTAAAATCCTGATTTTAAAAATTCAAATTCATATAAATTTTTATTATTAGCATAATCACCGCAATTTGTATCGCATGTCGTGTTAATACCATTGCCATTGTTTATCGTAACAGAACCACCATTGATGATTATATTGCAATTGTTACCGCAATACTTGTCCTTGTTGCAGTGGTCAGCTAAATTAAAAAGTAATATTTAATTTATAAACCAGTTAATATTGAGTTACCTGACAAACAAACTACAGCAAGATTTAGAAATAAAATTGCAGTTTTCATTATAAAATTTGTTGAAATCATAAATTATAGCTCTGTATCTCCTACTTATAACATTAACTTTACTTAAAACATATTATATGTCTAATATATAAGTTACAGTAGACTTCAAACACAGACTTCTGTGTTTTGTCCAATCTATCCTTGTATTTATTTATCAATTACATTATAAACATTTCAAATCATCAAAAAATTTTTTAATCAAAAACATAAACTGACAACAAAAATTATTCACTATAAGTAATAATAAATAAATAATTCAAATTATTTTATATAAATTAATTAAGCTAAAAGGTACTGTTAATAAAAATTAAATTTACTAAAAAACATTTTTATATTATTATATAAATAGTTTGTCAACAAGGAATATATTTATACAAATTTCCATAATTTACTTTAAATTATGAGATAAAATTTTTTAGAATAGATACTATAATATTACAGATTTTGATTTAAATTATCAAATATTTTTTATGAATTATGATAATATCCAAGTTATGAAATAAATATTTTGATTCAATTTAAATTGTAATTCATAATGAGCCGTTATTTCAATATAATTATCAAAATAAATGATAATCAATGCATGTTTTATTACAGTTTTTTTTATAAAAATTTATTCATACTTTATTTATGTTATATACATTTTAAATTTTTATATCAATTGTATAATTAAATATTTGCAGAAACTTATTAATTAAATAGTAGAAATTATTAAATTAACATTGTTATACTGATATTTCCTATTGTATTTAGTGTTTTATTGTTTGGACTCATAATTGTTCAGGCTGATATAGAACTAGATTCTTTTTTGATTTTTGGACAATTTTAATTTCAAATTAGGGGATAAATTTCTTTTCAAAAATTAAAATTAAAATTGTATTTATCTTGAACATAAAATAAATCAAGCATATAATTAAATGCAACATGGTCGCTCGCAAATTGTCTGATCAATCTCCCAATTACAAGGTACGTCCGACCATTGTAAACTCGTCAGGGAACTGGGTGCCTGAACGGCTACACAAATCTCGAAACCACTAACAGGGTCCCAGGTGCCAGTAGGCTCTCGTAATCCTGGTTCCCAATTGGTGTACGTCAACCGATCGCCATTAGACCAATAGAAACTGTCCGAGCTGTCAGCTTTTAGCACCCTGGTAGCATCCAACCAAAAGCTGCCATCGTATTTTAGATCGTTAAACCACTGGGTTATAAAATTGTGCTTGGCTAAACTTTTGATTGAAATGAGCTTGGCGTTCCATTTCTGGCCGCATGTTTTCAGTGCAGTTGTATAATTAGTTTTCGTATTAGTCTTGTTATGTATTAACAGGCATTCGTTGTCCACACCTTTGGTCCAACCGGTTGGACAGTCTACTTAATAATAACGTAAATAAATAATACAATAAAAATATAAATTAACAATAATAAATAGATTCTAAATGAAATATAATATAAAATGTGGATTTCTGTAACTTTTGTTGTATATAACAAATCATAAGATTTTTAGATATAGGAATCCTTATTTTGTTATTTTAAATTTAATATAAAATTTAATCAATAGCGTAATCACCGCAATTTGTGTCGCATGTCGTGTTAACATAATTGCCATTATGAATTGTAACAGAACCATCATTGATGATTATATTGCAAATATTACCACAATAGTTGTCTTTATTGCAGTTATCAGCTAATTTAAAATTTAATATATATATATTTATAAAATTGCTAATTATGAGTTACCTGACAAACAAACTATAGCAAGATTTATTAATAAAATTGCAGTTTTCATTATAAAATTTGTTGAAATCATAAATTATAGCTCTGTATCCCCTACTTATTAAATTAACTTTACTCTAAACATATTATACATGTATGTCTAATACATAAGTGACAGTAGGCTTGAAACACATACAAAAATTACATGTGCAATCTGACCTTGTTGTCATTTATCAATTATATTATAAACATTTCAAATCATAGAAATTTTGTTAAATCAAAAACATAAACTGACAAAAAAAATATAATAATTAATGAATTCAAATTATTTCATATGAATTAATTAAGCTAAAAGGTACTGTTAATAAAAATTAAATTTACTAGTAAACATTTTTATATTATTAAATAAATAGTTTGTCAATAAGGATTATATTTATAAAAATTTCCATAATTTACTTTAAAATATGAGATAAAATTGTTTAGAATAGATTGTATAATATTATAGACTTTGAATTAAATTATCAAATATTTCTCACGAATTATGCGTAATATCCAAGTTATGAATATAAATATTTTATTTATTTAAATTATGATTCATTGTGAGTAATTGTTTCAATTAAATTAACAAAATAAATGATAATCAATGTAAGTTTTTTAGATAATGTTTTGTATATAAAGTTATTCGTACTGTATTTATATAAAATTTTGATATTTAGTTTATAATTTAAATAAAAATAAAACTATTATTATCAACATTTAAATAAAAATGTCAATAAGGTAATTTTATTTATTTATAATAATTTATTTTTAAAAAACAATATTTAATATTTAATTATAATCAGAATACAGCATATAGCTCATATGCTTAAATGCAACAAGGTCGCTCACAAATAATTTCAGAGAGCCCATCGCAAGGTACATCAGCCCATTTTAAGCTAAACGGGTGACTGAGTGGGCGCGCATGAACACAAACCTCGAGGCCCGCGCCATTAGGTTCAACTCCACCCAACCTCGAGTCCCAATTGGTGTACGTCATCCGTTCGCCATTAGACCAAATAAAACTGTCCGGTTTGTCCGCTTTTAGTACCCTGGTAGCATCTAGCCAAAAGAATTCATCGTACTTTTGATCCTTAAACCACTGGGTTATAAAATTTTGCTTAACTTTTAATTGAAATGAGCTTGGCGTTATATTTCTGGGCGCATGTTTTCAGTGCAGTTGTATAAGTGGTTCCGTTAGAAGTTTTGTCGATAATTATTAGACATTCGTTGTCCACACCTTTAGTCCAACCGCACGGACAGTCTATTTAATAATAATCGTAATAATAAATAATACATTAAAATTATCGTAAAAATCATTTATACAATAATAAAGTAAATATATTTCATAAAATTTTAAGATTTTGATTTCTATTTTTGTCGTAATGTACTGTAAAAAATAATGATAAAATTCATAGAAATAAAAAACGTGTTTTTGATTTTTTAAAATTTTATATAAATCATAATTCTTAACATATTCACCGCAAATGGTATCGCATGTTGTGTTAATAAAATTGCCATTGTTAATCGTAACAGAACCACCATTTATGATTAGTTGGCAATTATTACCGCAATACTTATCATTATTGCAGCTATTAGCTAAATTTAAATGTAATATTTAATATTTAATTAAGATTGCTAATTATCTGTTACCTGAATAGCAAACTACAGCAAGAATTAACAATAATATAGCTATTTTCATTGTTAAATATTAAATTTTCTTTAGATATATATATATATTAACATATTGAATTATGTGTGTTTTATAGTGTATTTATAGAAAACTTTCATTACACTTTAGCTACATAAATTATTATTTTATTGATCTATAAAATCTAAACAGTGAAATAGATTAAACTTATAAATATAAAAGTAGGCTGCAAAAAGTATAACTATCTCGTTAAGTGATTGTAAAAATAAAACATTTCTTGAAACACTCATGTTGTTTCTGTATAAACCTGATAACATACATGATTTTATTGCTAGTGACTTTATGCGTTGACTTTATTTTTATTAAATACTATACAATTAAATAATAACTTTTATTTATTACATTATTGTGTCGTAAATGATTATTTGAATAGGTATTATTAAATGAATCATACTTTATTTGCCAATATTGAAATAACTTATCAAACATATCACGTCAAATGGCATATTATTTATATCGGTATAAATTATAGTTGATAATAAATTTTACATCTTAATAACTTATATATTATACTATGTGAATGTCTTTGACTAAACAACAAACTGAATTGCAATATTAATTGACTAATTACCAATATCAATTAGTAAAATGATTAAGATTTTCATTTAAATAGAATTTTCATATTTAGTTTTAATATAAATAAATTTTAAGAAATTAAAATTGACAATCAAATTATTTACAAATTGGGCACAATAATAATTAACTTTTTATTAAACTTTGATTTTAAAACATACTTTAACCTCAATATTTATCGATTATATTTACTATTAGTATTATCCGTAATTTTACGTATTTTGTATAGTTATATATAATTATATAAAAATATTTTAAAATAAATACTGACAAAATTATAAAAATTATATTGTAAATAACATAATTATAAATTATAAGTTATAATATTAAAAACCGAAACTAACAAAACATTTATTTGTTATAGATTATATGAGACACAACAAGCTGAAACGCTCGATGTGTCTGTGAAAGTAAACGGTAAACTGAAGTATTTCACATAACAATGTATAGCAATCAAGTTGGGTATATAATAATATGAAGAGAAATACTTCAGTTTACAGTTTGCTTTCACAGACACATCGAGCGTTTCAGGCTTGAGCTTTTCATATCAACTAATTAATACAATTTATTTTAAATTAAATAATTAAAGAATTAAGTGCTTTAAATAAAATTAAATTAATAATAAACTTTTTTATTTTACAAATAGTTTCTCCATAAATCCAAATAGATTTATAGAAATTTAAATAATTTACTTTAAAATCGACCATAAAAATTATCTAGAATAGATATTATAATATTGTAGACTTTGACATAAATTATAAAATATTATATTTCCCACGAAGTTTTATATATAATTTCTAAATATAAATAGTTTTATTTAATTTAAATTGTGGGTAATAATAAACCATTGTTTAAATTAAATTGCAGTACTAAATGATAAATAATGTATGTTTACATAAAATTTTGTATATGGACGTTGGTTTGTTAAATAAATCTAAGTAACAAAAGGTATACTGTAATCAAAAAAGGTTGCACATTGTTACAGTCTTTTAGCAATATAAACTAAAATGAATATCTTACTTTAATATGCTTAAATTTAAATAATTTATTTATAAAACATTAGCTATAAGTTTACTTCAAACTATAGAAAGTGAATTTGTAAAATATAAACTATATTTAATAAAAATAACTAAATTAGACCTGATATTAGAGACTATAGCTTTAAGTATACGTATCTATGTAAATTATATTTATTTACAAAAATAAAAATAAAATCAATGATTAAATATATATATTGTTATAACAATATAATTATATATTTGTCAGATAATATAAATTAAAAATATATCTAATTAATTTACTAGAAAATATTGGCAATATGCTTAAATTTTTACCAAAATTTACTTAGGTTTTTTGCAGCCGGTAGTTCATATAAAGTAATTCAAATTTATGTAAAATATAATATAAACTTTTAAATTAACTGTATAATTAAATATTTGTAGTAATTTGATAATTATAACTATTAATGATGTTTACTATAATTATAGATAACCATAAAAAATAAATGTGAAGGTTACATTCATAGAAACAGTTTTATATAAATTAGTGCTAAAATAGTTAATCGATTAAAAATATTTTAAACATAAAATACTGTAATAATTGTTTTAATAATTTTATTTAAATTAGAAATTTTATACTTTATGATAAGATTGTCTTAAATAAATAAGATTTTCTATTTCTAAATAATATATCAAATATTTCCCATGAAATTAAATATTATCTATGTTTTAAATATAAATATTATAATTTGCCTAATTAAATTATTAGTCATAATGGATAATTTTAGAATTTGTTTAAATTTTGTCGTAATATTTTTCATATAAAGTAATTAACATTAATATAATTTCCTACATAAAAACTTTTATATTAACTGTATAATTAAATAATTATAACAATATATAATTAGAAATTATTAAAAATGAACATAATTTTTTGTTTAATTGTATTTATTATTGCATTACTTGGACTCATAATTGTTCCGGCTAACACGGAGCCAGATTGTTTTTGGACAGGGTGCGTTGAGTTGAATCATGCTAGCTGTCCCGATCATTATGAGCAAATGACCAAGGAACATTGCGGTGATTGGTGGCAACGTACATTAAATGCTCAGAAAAAATATTGCTGCAACAAATGTTAGTAGCTGAATGTTCAACAGACATAATTTAATTTGCTTAGCGTGCGAAAATTATTTAATGGTTTTAATATTCATTGTTGATTTTATTTTACAGCTAATGAAACTGCCAATTATGACATGCTTGATGACCAAGATTACGAGTCTAAAAGTAATCTAGGTTCAGTTAACGCTATACAACATGAGATTAAATATAATTTTGTGCAAGGTAATTCATGTATAATCTAATTACAGTATTTTTTTAAAAATTGTTATTTTAAATTATACTTATCTTGTAGTACTGGGGCCGCGTATACACACAAAATCTCGAAATACAAAATCTGGAAAAACCAAATCTAAACAAGCCAAATCTAGAAAAATAAAATATCGTAAAACACAATCTCGAAAGTAGTACTACATGTGATGGTGGAGTTTGTGTAGCACCTGGACTTGAAGCTGGAGGTGTTGGTACATCTAAATAATCAATATTAATTTTGTAATTAATTAAAATCTTGTGTATTGCAATTTATGATCGTTTTTTTATTATTTTTAAATTGATAATATTAATACTTCGAAATTTATAATAATTTGTTAAAAGTGATATATTTTTATGAAAACTCAAAACACTTGGTTAATTTATGTATTTAATTTTAAAATAAATAATTTTAATATATAATACATAATCGTTATTTATGTTAAATTGCATTCGTATTTGTTTATTTTATTTTAAAGCTAATATTAAAATTTTAAAAACAAACAATAAATCATATAACCCGTATTATTAAATGCAACAAAGTCGCTCACAAATAGTTTCAAAATCCCGAGAATAATATGAGTCGGCCCATTTTAAACTAATCGGAGCACTGGGATGGGAGCTCTATCATACAAATCTCGAGGGCATCCATATTATCAGGCCTATTGCCATTTGGTTCACCTCTACCTGGCCTCGAGTCCCAATTGGTGTACGTCAACCGATCGCCAATAGACCAATAAAAACTGTCCTAGCTGTCAGCTATTAGCACCCTGGTAGCATCCAACCAAAAGCTGCCATTGTACTTTTGATCCATAAACCACTGGGTTATAAAATTATGCTTAACTTTTAATTGAAATGATCTTGGCGTTATATTTCTGGGCGCATGTTTTCAGTGCAGTCGTATAATTGCTATTTGGTAATCTCTCCTAGATCTATTCTGTAATATGTTAAATTTAAACTTATTATTCAGCACATATTATTAGCACCAAGCGCCCTTTTCCTCAAAGATGTTATTGATTTATTTTGAATAAACTAATTATTAATAAAGTAATTTTTATTATAAAAGGTATAATCTTGTATTATTTAAAAAGACTTAATAAAGAAATGGTATTATGGGTAATTAGACTAGATAATTTATGGCCACAACTAACCAACTGATGATTAACTGACCAATGCTCATCAATATACCAAAGTAATTATACTGGTACAACTAATTAATAGATCAGATATTGAATAAACAATTACTGCAAATCATTAACAATTTGTTATAGGTCAAATTTATCATAAATGTACATTATAATTAAGTTAATGTTTTAATTGAGTACATAAGTTTTATTGCTAATTGTATAAGTATGATATTTATTTTTAGCTTATATAATAATAGTTTAACAATATGAGAATACAGTATAAATGCTAAATTATTTATTTCAAACTTATTGCATATTAATTCATTATATCTATGATATTATCATAAAATATAATCTGTATTAAAAGTATATTACATAAATTATGGCTGATCTCTATACAAATAAGTTACTGGATCATAAAATTGGCTACAAATGGGCGTCAATTCATTTATACAGAATAGGTTTGGATTTGTTTGAAACGTCCTATAATTGCGGTCATAGGCTATGGTTTCATAAACCGATTCTCGCGTTCATTACATTCACTATATTTTACATAAACCGTGTGTTATGTCTACTCATTGACAATGAATATCTATCTATTGTGCTTGGTGACTTTGGCAGATTTTTGGGAATTCGTACCTTGAACAATTTAACGCTAGCCATGTTTGGTTTATCCCCGCTGAGCATTCAGTGCGTATTTTTTTATAACTTCATGAATCATATTAAGCCGACTTTCCTAAAAGTATTACATATGATGTCCGGTTTGGTAACTCCCGGTGCTGTAGGACTGACCAATAAGTCGGAGGTTATGTTACTTATTAGACGTACGAGACATTTTTCCAGATTTGCGACACTAAACAGTGTATACGTCATACCTATTCAGGCCGTATTGCTAACAGTTATGTCATACCTATTTGGGACGACCCTTTATAACACACTACTCTATGGTATACCCAATGGCCTACTGTTTGCCGTTTGGGACCACCATTTCTGGGAATACACGTTATACACATTGAGTTATTTCTACGTTATTTGCCTTTACTTTAAATTCAGACTCCGGGCTATACATAGACAGCTCCGGGATATTATGGATAGGCCTACAAGTCGTTGGGAAATGGAGACTATTTTGCATTCATTTAACACAATATACTCAGAGATAAGTGACTATAACGCCACCTATTGGTCCAAAATATTGCTG